TTTAGATGAACTCCAAAATCCGGCGTAAACCGATTTCAGCATAAGCCGCCACAATAACATTAAAAAATGAAAAAATGAAAATTCATAAATCCGTAAGAAAATTATATAATAATTACCCTCTGCTTAACATTTTTTCCCAGCTTCTCAACACATTGGTATAATTTCATTTCAATCAAATTATCAAATTTTGGAATAGTACTTTTGTCAAAAAATCCATAATTATTATTTTGAGAAAAATAAACAAAGGAATTTTTTATACGTGATAAGTGTTTATCAAGTAAAAAAAAACCTAATTTAAGAAATATGCATTGTTATATATATTTGACAACAAAAATATAGATATAAAAAGAAAAAATGTATGTACCAGCAGGTGGATCATAAAGGATTGTTTCGAGAAGTTCAAATTCTATGGAATTCATAAGTAAAAATCGTTAATATAAAAAAAAAAAAAAATTCTTAATCTCGAAAGATATCTGAAGATCATGTATAAAGAAATTCAACAATGTAACGGTAATTGTATATAAGCACGTGTTTATGAATATGATTACAATAATTAGATAGATGGCAAAGATAATAAAGGAAATGTTTGTCACCATGATGATTGCACAACTTGCATGAAATAATTCTATATAAATACGAAACATCTCCGACTAAATTCTTTCCATTTTAAAATCCTAGCGCGTATTGAAATGTCAAAGTTTAATCCTCTATATACCATTCTTGTCACAGTTATTGAGGGTTAGTATTTTTTTTTAAGAATTCTTAAAAATCATTATATTCTCAATTTTTAAAATTAATTCATTTTTAAAATAGGTCGATATTTTACACAAAAACCAAATTCGAAGCTCTATGCCGAATGTAGATTTATCTTCCGAAAGACTAACTTCTACAACTTTATCACTGGCCAAGAATATAACCAAACATATCAATCTTATAATACAACCGTGACTAATATTGATACATCTCGAGTTATTGATGCTGACTCATCACTCCATTACCAATATTTACACCTAAGCAAGTTTCAGAAGGTAATTCGACTTCAGATATAACTGAAAAAGACGATATGAAAATTAATCGTTTGAATTATCAAAAATGTTAGAATTTATGAGAATCTGCGCAATCATGAAGAATAACATCATTCTAATCAAGAAATGAAAGCTGAAACTAAACCTATTATTCATAAAAATATTGACAACGTTGATTCCTTTTGCGACAACACACGATCGATTCCGTATTTTACATATTATCAGATGAAGAACGTAAGTTGGATATCAATAAAATCACGGACAATATTATACAATGTAGAGGTCGGATCCTTTGAATATCCATCATGATTATTCAGTAAATATTTGCGGATTTTGGATGTTCGTGAATAGCATTGGACGAATATCCGGATTTTGAATGGATACCCATGCTATTATTTGTAACTGCGAATATTCACGAATATACACGGATCAATTATATTAATTACGAACCCTCGACTATTCGTGAATTTGTGTAATCAAATATTGGATATTCAATGAATTTCCGTTTCTAACCGTGAATATTCATGGATCCGGCCTCTAATACAATGCACATGCAAACCTTATTCATAATTAATCTTCGACATGTCACGCAATTGACCTGATCAATCAGGGAAATAATTCAACTCATGAAACAAAAAAAAGGAAGAACGGCAACCTTGTTCGTCCCACCAATAACACATGATGCACAAGATAATCCGATCTTAACCGTCAAACGCATCTCTCCAATGAATCTCTGCCAACTACCATTACCATTGGATGTTCTTGAAGGTTTTTTTCATGAGTGGTGGATGGTTTTTTGGAAATTTTTGGTGACAAATACGAACGCCAAACTGGAATTTCATGTCAACATTAAAATTTTTATGCGATAATTAAATAAGCATCTTATTATATTGCCTAATGCAAAATACAAGAATGTTGTGACGTGTTTAGATATCGTTAATAAAATAATCGGATATTAGATTATATATGCAATGCAGTAAAAGATGTAATAATATCTGTTTTTCCTTAACAGAACTAAAGCCATTATTTTTATTAAATATATATATGGCTTTTTGTGATAATACACAGATATTACATAGTTAATATCTAGTATAAAGTACAGATAACAAAAT